AGAAATTCTTATTTTTCATGTGTTACAGATGGAAATCACAACTTTTGAACAACTTCTACTCATGTTCATATATTTAACTCACTTTAGATTGTGTGAAGAAATTGACGTCTGGATGATTTATATATTATTAATGGAACGATTTACGCGCGTTAGCAAGTCCAAGGGAGCTTATATACTTCCTTATTCTGTAACACTATAATACCTATTAAAGTAGGGTAGATAGTATTTTCACCTTTTAGCCGTTCAAAAATTACCACACATTCTTTAAAGCAATTAACAAAATATTTAATACAATTTAAAGTCTTATTGATATAATTCAAATGTCGCTATTAGCTTTCCTGCTTGACCGAAGTGATTTTTTCAGTACTAAATTGAATTTATGTTTTATTGTCATTAGATGTTGACCGTGAATCCGACAAGAAAAAGCTTGACGTGTTAAATCATACCTTATTTGCAATCTTTTCGACGGTTCAAATATTTCGTTGGAACCGCAGAGCAATTTTATTAAGATGTATCTATGACATAAATCAAAGCCAGTAATCGCTGCAGACAACATCACAATTGTGAGTGTCATCAAATTGATAAATTAGTATTTTCATCAACACTGATGTTATTGCAGTCATAAACGCAGCCGTTAGTTGCAATATTACGTCAAGAAAAAATGCTCTTGAAAATTTTATTACTAACGATTTATCACGAACAATTTCATAATAAAATGGTAGGTACTAAAATTTTTTAAATGTCGATGTAATTCCTTGTTAATAATGGAAATATTTCTAGTCTGGTTCCATAGAACTGTTCTAGAAACGTTCTATTTTGGTTTTACTCACTTAGCGTGGAAAATTTTTCGCAAACGTTAAAAAAGTGCATATCGCACTTTTTCCGGGACGCCTTGTGTTCGTTCCAAAGTAGCCTAAAACTGTTTAACTCATTAAATTTCTCACTATGTCGATTAAAGAAGCAAAGTGGTACGTATTGTTCTTCCTGTACATACGAATGTTATTTGTTTTGTATTCCTATTTACTATTGTTTCTTTCATTTCTTATTTAGCTTATGGAAACTTGAATTGATTTGATTAAAGTTACCATTTTGATTGCTCAATTCTATAAAACCTACCATTAGACACATGGACGAACCTCTTTAACGCATTACACATTTTGTACATATGATACACAGTATTAAATATTAGTTTAATTATATGGAACTTAAAATGATAAACTTATAAAGTGTGTAGAAAATTCCGTTAATTCAAAATTAGGAAATTTTAATCTTCAAATACCTAATATGTACTTAACTATAATGATACTACAATTAAATAAACCATAATAAAACTAAAGGACTCAAAATAATCCATTCGTTTTTGGAACGCCAGATCAAGTTATTCGCAACTTGGAAAAAATTCAATATTAAAATCACATTAAAAAAAATTGTTTACTAGAAAAATGATAGTAGAGATTAATACAAAACATATAAATGATCTTTCCTTGGGAATGTATTAAGTTTTGCAAAGAGGAAACCTGAAGGTTATTATTAACTGAAAACGAACGGAACATGATTATACATTCAAAATAAACGATATACATAACACATGTGTCTGCTTTTAATAATAGTCACAGAATACAATGATTTTAGAAGGAAATCCAACAAATATAAAAATGGAAAATTAAAGGCAGTTGTAAATTAGTTTACCATTATAATTATACTTATCTACTTATTCCTGAGCAGCTAGATGTAAGTTAAAAACAAACATTTATTATTGAAGCAAAATACTTATTTTACAGATTTGCATTCGATGGGTTGTAAGGGCTGTTTTGAAGGAAAAAATTTAATTGCATTTTTACAAGATCTAGTCATTGAAGCAGCTACCTACCATATATGTATTTAAAAACAGGGATATTTTGAAACGCAAAAAGTTGCTGGAGGTGGTTAAACCAAAGAATTGTGTTAAGTTCTATTAGGAGGGCTGCAAGTGGATATGAAAAATATTATGCAATCGCATTTGATGAAATCATGACTTGATTACTTAATTATCAAAGAAGCAGTTGAATGCGCCCAATAAATTCGCAAAAAACAATTTAATTTTTTTCTTTCGACATTCCATCGGATGCAATAAGAATTCATTTTGTTTACTTCTTCAATTCAACTTTTTAATAAAGATCAGGTTAATAAAGAAACAACTTGTACATAAAATAAAAGACCAGTAGTTCATTTTTGCAGAGCAGAGCCTCGATAAAAAGCATAAAAGATACTGACGCCAAAAGAGTAAATTGGTGTCAATTATGTTGGAAAGAACCTTTTGAAAACGCAATAAAAAAAAGAAGACTCGCACTCTCAAATATTCAATGGGTTAATTTCTTTAAATCGAATGAAATTAAAAAAAATGTAGGCCGTACGAGGAAATAAAGTCGATATATGTACAAGCGAATCTAGAGATTGACATATAAAAACTCGTCTAAACATAAGTACCGAAAACATTTCTGCTTAAAGCGACTGGAATTCCTAATAGCGAGAGCTTGAAGAAGGGTTTGTGCAATTGTTTTCTATACGGATTGTGCAAAAATTTCGACTTTTGATAGTCTTTTATAAGTTTGGTTCGTGTTTCAGGGTTTTAAGTAATAAAACGCTCGTTTTAAATGTCAAAACGGACGCACAATGTTTAAATTATTCGCCCATCTTTTATTAAATTTAGGTAAATGTACAGGGCCAAGGTCCCATATATTTTTAGAGGTGAGTTTAAAAATTGAAATAACAAAAAACTATGTGACTAGGTAAACTGTCCAACAAAATGAACGTTACAGAGCCAAATTTGCGCTAACTTTGGAAGTGAATAAATTCTGATTGCTTTAAGAGATTTGGTTTCTGTTTGAAGCTCTATCTAGGCCTATTTGTTTCTTGTTCGTCAATATTTTGGTAAAAATTAAGCACCTCAGCAAAATTTTCTACAGGATCGCAAATGAAAAAAAGAAAAAAGATGCAAAAAAGTTCGACTTGCTCCTACTTAGTTGGACAAAAAGCAGGTTTTTTTGTATCTCAAAACCAAAAGTTTAAAGGTAAACAAAATAGCTCGATCATCGGTCATCATTTTTGTTTACAGGGTGGTCTCAAAAACTCAACATTTCTGCTTATGGACCAATTTTCACGATCTTGAACTCATGTTAGCTGAAATTTAATAACAATTTACCCAAATTAGAATTGCCCCTCAAATATGTGATTCTGAAATATTTTCTACTACCTAAGTGAAGTTAATTTCAAATATGTATTTCGTTGATTCATGCAACCGGGTATATTCATTTCTTTTCTGAAATGGACTGCAAGGGTTTTAGCTTCAACATGAGCCCTATATTTTGCTAATCGGTTCAAGAGGAAAAAAATATCACTGCAATACCAAAATGTTGATTTTTTAAGACCAGTCTGTAAATAAACGAGATGAGCGAAAAATTAAAAAACTTGTTTGGAGATACAAAAAAACGGGTTTGTGTCCAACTGACGGCATGTGAAACTTTCACCAATTTTGTAATGTTTCATTTGCCACCCGGTAGAAATCTTATCTAAAACACAATTTTTTTGCAAAAAAGCACACTAACCGAATAAGAATTGGACTAAAGAACGCTTCAAACAGAAACAGAATCGCTAGCAGCTATCAGAATTTATCCAGTTCCAAAACTGGTCCAAATTTGTCAGCGTAACTTTGATTTCGTTGAGCAGTTTAGATGGGAAAACTGGAAAGACGGATATTTCCAATATTTTCTAAACAGTTTGAGTTAAGGTTTGTGAAGGCTTATTTTCGTTTGTTTCGTGAACCAATCTATTAAAAAGTGTATTTCCTAAACGAAAGGAAATTAGGGAGCCGTAAACACTCTAAAACGTCTCAAATCGATTGAATATTATGCTTCCGAAGCTTAGGAAAGACCTTTTTTTGTTGCACATAATACATGTTCGTTTGTTTCGTGAACAAAGTATTAGGTTTATTCTCAGCCTGTTTTTTTTTAAGATTTGCTAAAACTTAGATTCATAAACGATTAGTCCGCAAAAGAGCAGTTTTGTATACTTAATATTGAATTGGATATGTTCGATTTCCATTCCAAAATTGGTGTTTCTTGGTTTAATGATCCAGTGCAACTTGCAGGTAAACTGAGTCTCATCTGCTTATCTTTGGTCTCAAAAATTTGAGAAAAACCACCTACCTATTTGTAGAAGAAGAGCTCTTTTAAAAGCCATTTATTCAGCTAATCGACATTTTTCGACAATTTCGTACGGTTTTTGAGTGTGAAATATTCCCATCAAGTTTTTACAGATTACCTTAGGACCCTCAGTAACGTTGCCTGTGGCATAATACTCATAGAACTCAAGCTGTTTGCCTAAAGTGAAAACGTATAGTAACTGAATCTTAATTTGAGTCTTGCGTTTTAGATCAAGAGTGAAAAAAACAGCAAAATTGTTTAAACCATCAAACAGCAAGTCAATGACCTTCTTCCGAGTCTACCTTCGTTACCTACATGCATGATGTCACTATTCCGCAAATCACAACTTCAATAAAATACGCTGAAAATTGAATGGGTTGGCGGGTATATCGAGGGTACCATTTCAAAATTCGTCATCACCGCCGAAACCGGCAGATTTAAACGTCCTTGAATTTTATTTGCCCATGGTCCATGCTGAGTCAATCATCACAGCGGACATGATGGGTTTAAGCTACAAAGCTTGACCTCAATAGTGGTATCTGTATGGGAATAGTTTAAATATTCTGGACCCAAACAATCATGTCTAACCGGCTTTTTGACTGTGTGAGATAGGCGTAGTACTACTCCAAAAAAGAACGTTGCCATCTGCTACAATACAACCTCTTAATAAAGACAAAAGAACATACCGGTTAAGTTTACCAGGAACCGAAAACAACTGCCTGTTCAACTACAAATCCATGGTAAATGCCTAAATGATTTGCCGAAAACTGACCATTCGTCCGTGGTAACGTTGAAGGTAAAAACGCTTCAAAAATGTACCTGTGAATTAGTTGTTGGCTGCTCGGTAAATCCAAATATGCAATGCGTCTAATGGCACAGTCCAAGAGAAAAGAGTACCACTCACACATCCACCACACACAGAAAGGGCACAGTTTATGCAAGAAAATTAATTGATAAACGCGTAAATCTAAGCCGATCGAAAGACGCGTCGTTTCAACCTCTCCAGTTTGGTTTTGCTGAAGAATTCTAACTAAATTCAGAACGGGCAACATTTAACATACCAACTTTCAACAGTCAACAGGTGTAGATTATGAACTGCTGCAGACAACGATGGTAAAGACGGCAACATTGCAGTGCTACTCCCGGCAGTCCCAGCGCAAATGGTACTTTGCGGCCATCTTCAATCTTCAGTAGTACAGGCTTTTTTGATACATTTAAGGGATAAAACTGCTAGTTTTTGAAAATTTCGAATTAAGCCAGTTACATTAAAATGGTCTGAATCTGCAAAGCTACTGGTTTTAACGGAGTAATTGTGAAAAAAAGTTGAAAATTTTACGTTGAGAAAGTTATACATATATACATACAGTAAAGTCCGCTTATAATGAGCCCGGTTATAGTGAACTTTCGGTTAAAACAAACTTTTCTCCTTTAATTGAAACGTCGTCCATAAAGGCCAACTCATTTTTTTACGGGTTATAACAAACCCGTTTATAACGAACTTCCGGATATAACAATCACTTTTCAGGTTAGTTGTATATTCACTTTCCGTTTATAACGAAATTCCACGCTCAGCAACACGAATCGTGCGAAGTTGTTTATATTAGTGAGAGCGAGAAGCAGGCAGTGACTTGTTTTTTGCCGCGTTATGTTTGTAAATCGTTTTAAAATGAAAAAACAAAAATACAAAGCTTTTTCACTAAATAAAAAGTACGAGATTATTAACAAAATAAAAAGTGGAGTAAAGCAGAGAGGCATTTGTAAGGAATTAGTACTTGGGAAGTCTACTGTTGCAACAATATGGAAAAACAGAGAAAACATTTTATCAGCGTATGACAAAGCAAATGTTAGATATAAGAAGTTAAAATTATCTGCACATGAAGAGGTTGACAAGGGACTTATTAAGTAGTTTACTCAAAAAAGACCAGAAAACGTTTCCATACGTGGCAGTGTTTTCTAAAAAAAGGCTAGTGAAACGGGGAGTAAAATCAAAAACAAAGAGTTCGTTTGTTCTAGAAGTTGGGTAGAGCGTTTCAAGAAGAGACATAATATCAGTAGAACACAAGTGCGAAGCTCCAACCTATGGATCAAGGAGTAATACATTCCCTAAAGTCATTATAGGAAATTTCTTCTTATGAAAATGTTAGAGGCGATCGATAAAAATGAAACATTTTCCATAAATCTCTTAGGTGCAGTCAATTTCATTCATAGAGCTTGGCAAAAAGACATCCGAGAAATCATAGCAAATTTCTTTAAGCATGGTGGATTAATAAGAAAAGACAATGATTATGAACCAGACTATGAAATTCCACTTAATGAATGGTTAAAAAAATCATAAAGCCTCTGACTACGAGTATGACTCAGATGAAGATGTGCCCAATTTTGTCGAAGAACAAGTTAAAACCAAATTGCGTGATTTCAATTTCTTCGAATATGTGAGCATTGATATTGGCATTCTTACAAGAGAAATGTTGACCGATGAGCAAATTATAGACTCCGTAACCTCATCTACAGCTTTAAGTGATAATGAGGAAGATGGCGATTTAAGTGAAACTTTCTACTGTAGATACTAATACTGTTTCAACTATTTCTGAAATAACAAACAAAGTGTCAGAACTAGAAATTTTCTACAATCACGCCAAGTTCCTAATCATATCTGGGAGTCATTTTGTGATCTTGAAAACTACATAAATAACATCCATTTTTGCAGCAGAAATGTACAAACAAAAATTACAGACTTTGTGAAGTAGATTTCAAATTGTGTTCTGTTTATCTTTTTGTGTTCTTTTTAGTTATACCGACTAACTTCTACTCCTCTATGTAAAAATACCGAAATAAAATACACCACGTGTTTTTATATTTTTATTCGCTTATAGCAAACTCCGGATATAACCAACCAGTTTTAGCTCATTTTTCAAGTTCGTTATATCCGGACTCAACTGTATATTGAAAACGGCATATTCAAACAGAACAACTGGTGGTCTGAGTTTGGTCATTTATTTTATTATTTATTATTTATTACTTCATTTACGTATTTCTGTTATACAAAGCAAATTAGTCGAAAGTGGTTAAACTGGCAATTATTCTCGCTAAATTGAAAAATCTACTGCTCTTTACAGCACAAATCACAAATCATCTAAAAATGCTCGTATCGATCGCGATTAGAACCGTTTAAAAATACTAGTTTATCAATTAATTACTAAAATTAAAATTAATTATTATCGCACTCTTGAAATTTACCCAAAACAGGTACCAACAAAAATATTTTTTTTGCATTTTATTTTCGAGGTCCGTAACTGATCGCACAACTAGTATTAATTTGCAGTAAGTACGGCCACGCAAAATGAGTTTCCTAAAAGAACTTGGTTAGTAAATTGATCAAAAAAATATTTTAAACCCAACAAATTGGTAGATCAAACACATGATTAAAGATCTGCACACTTTTTTATATTTCTTCAACTAATTTCAAGTGCAATTCATTACTTCAAAAATCCCGAAACTGCTAATTATTCTCGCTATTTTTTAGTTCGTTTTGATCAGATTTTAATTAAAATTGGAATTAATTTCAATATTTTAATTTCCCAAAGCTTCACACTCTTATAAATGGATATTTCGTCGTGTCGCAATTTTTATTTCGCCCAAAAAGATATTTTGGTAGCGGAATTTTAAAAGATTTTGAAACAGAAACTAAATTTGTATGTTATAATCATAGTTAAAGCTGTGGTAAAGGTACGTTTAATCTCTTCGAAACTAACTAACGTCTGAGACTTTGACATATTATTTCTAATAACCATTTAAGGGCACTTTGGGTCTATCAGCTATCTGATAAGATTTCATTACGTAGAAATAAATGAGGTGTAAATAGCTAATCTATTTATATCATTTATACTTGAACCTTGAGCTAATTGAAAAATGAAAAATAGTTTTTGAGTCCCTCCATGGCACCAAATCTCCATAGCAATATAATTATTTAGAATCTAGTGTCATTGAAAATTTATCAAATAAATCATTTATTTGACAACATTTATTGCTATCGGATTGCAGCGTCAAGAGCATTGAATTCCTTTAAAAACAGCATTGACTTTATTGGGCGCATCTGGTTTTTTGGCATAAAGCCTCGGACTATCGAAGCAATTAATACCTTATCTTTTCTCCTTTTCTATTTGGTACTACTTTACCGAAATGCCCCGTCTAATGTAATCATTATTCCCGGCACGGTTGTCAATTCTTTAAAAAATGCAGACTTCTTAGAGCATAATTTGGGGCGCTCTAAAAATGGATTTATATATTTGCTAGAAAATCAATATATTCATAGATCAATTGTCTTTATAGGAAAATGTAGAGGGGCGTTGGTTTAAGAATTAAAAACGGCCGTAAAAACAGTTCACTTAAGAGTATTTATTTTATTTTATTTTTAATTAAACCTTAATCTGTTTAGGTATGTGAGCGCTGCTCTTATAGTCTTCAAGTATTTGGAAAATATTGAACTTATTAATTATACCATATACTTACTTAATATATACTATATTTGCATGACCTACAGTATTATAACATGAAGGCATATGTGAAAAAGACTATTTCTAAGTTTTGTAAGAAGAAGTATTCGCAAACGTTCTTTCTATTAAAGCAATAGTTGCCAGTCTTTTCCCCCTTGATAATAAGAAAGTCAATTAAGTTAAAACCCGCTTTTGGTCTTTACTCTTTGCCAACAGAGAGTAAAGTCTCAAGAAATTTCTTAAGTTGGGCGCTTGTTTCGTTGCTTGAAAGAGGTCAGCCATTCCACTAATTTGTCTAAAAAGTTAAAAATTGCTTATTTTTTTTTATGACAATTACATAAATTCAGAAATACATTCTATTATGCAGAAGCGCACAACAAACAATCAGTTCAAGCGTGAAAATATCACAACCAAGTATGTAAACTTTATAAAACCTTTATGTTTGCGTTCAGACAAGTTTTATGTATCATAAACGCTCATATGTAGGCGAGCGAACGTTAAGTAGAGTGGTGGTGTATAACTACTGAATTTTTTTTTTAACGAAAATGCAACTATTTTATGTACGCTTATTTATAGTAAACTGAATGTTAAGTTGAAGAATGTGTGTATTTTACAAATACCTGGAATATTGCTGCGATTGGTACAAATTTCTAAATCTACTAGCAGTTGCTTAAATCATTAAGTATTTTTTACACATAAACTTCTTTTTTTGGGTGTAATAAAGAAATAATACTGAAGTAAGGGAATGGTATGAGGAAAACTCAACTTGAAAACTACTTATTGCTTTTGAAAATAATTTTGCAAATAAGATTGATTTCAGAAAACATTATATCTGAGGAAAACGCTTTCGTGTTTCCAAATAACTTGCGGTTTCTTTAAATATCGCATACTATAGAGAAACAAAACAATTGGTAAACTCCTTTTTTCGTTTTATTTTAACTTCGCCCATCTTTCAAGAATTTGGGCAGTGGAGTGTATTTCATGGCCAAACAGTGAGCTGCATTACACACAACATACAAAATATTCTATATATTTTTAGAACACTGTGCCTTAATTATTGGTAAATTTGTTGACTTTGATCATTTTCGTTTATTCTGTGCATTTCAATTGGTAATTGTTCGCCCAACTGTCCAGGTCTACTTTTGCCGTCAATTCTATAAATTCACTTCAACTTTCACAAAGTTAAAAAAACTTCTAATTCACTTGATCGGTCTTTGTTTAAATATAGTGTTTCTATCTAAATCATTAACAATTATATTGAAAACTACAACTCTGAATAATAAATAATCGCGCCAATTTGTCCAGCATGTTCCTCAACAGCAATATTAGTTCTTCAATCAAATTCTTCTTGATTTGACTTCAAATCAAAAAACAAACTTAAAAAAATCAGTGGTCCGAAATAAAATGAATGTAAAAATGAAATTTTTAATTAAAAAGTTTAAGATGATTGTGTTTTAGAATTAATTTCAATTTGATTATTTAATTCTAAAGTTCTCAGATTATTAATGTTTTTGTTTGAGTTACCTTCTGGAAATTGCCACCATTT